AACACAATCGTAAGAACCATAAACGGTAAAGGGTTAATTGTGTGACATATGGTTGTCTAGGTATACACCAAAGCTTGACGGTTCAAAGATAGCATCTACTGATTGACCGAGTATATCCGACATATGTTCACTACGGAAAGTCCAAGGGGAAACCTACTTATCCAGATGCAATTAATTCTTGCTTGTAAAGTACACATACTTGTCCGTTTCTTTGTCTTGGAGTCATTCCCCATTCATGCGGGGGATTGTTGGGTTTTTAAAAGGTGTGAATGGAAAATGAAGAGTTGCGACTTTTATGAAGAGTTGTGACTTTTATGAAAAGTTGCGACTGTTATGAAAAGTTGTGACGTTTATGAAAGGTGGTGACCTTTCTGAAAGATTGTGACTTTTCCAAAGGTTTGTGACCTTTCTGGTTAGGCACAATAAGAACCTTTTCACACTACCCTTTGTTTTCTATAAATTGAGGGATTTCCTCTTATTTTAAGAACGAATTTCTGAACTTCTTCTTCTACTACTAAATCTAGTATTCTAAGTGTACTTTACTACCGTTGAGTGGCTCGCTGACACCAGCGTTTTGGGTATCAATACACTGGTGATTGAGATCATTCTATCCTGGGAGGACATATTCCAAATCAAACGTCGAATACTAGAGAGGAATTATTTCCTTAAGGGGACACTGTGCATTCAGTGGGCTTGATCTTCTTTCTGTTTTCCCAGATTCTGGTATGTGTTACATATTTTAGATAGATTTGTGAATTAATTTATGTTCTTCTGTTCTTCACTGGTTCATTAAACTTTGGTAATTTCGTGTTTCTGCAAAATTTGTTGGAATCAGTAAGATTCTTTAAACACAGATTGACAACAATTCTTCTTTAAGAAAAATAAAATATTTTGTATATTTTTCTAATCTGTTTCTAATTCTAGTTTCTCTACAAGTTTTAATTTTCTAGTTGTGAAAATGTTCTTAAACTTTATTGTGTCTTACCAAGTTCTTTAAACATTGTCAGAAGCATGCCACAATGTTTCAAATAGTATGTAGGCACAACAAATGAAAGGATACTCGAACCTCGAATATTCAGGGATGTAGTTATACTCCAAGGAATATTTTCTTTCAGGGTCAGACTTGCAGACTAATGTAGCTTCTAATCTTGCGTCCAGTCTAGTAGGACCGTAACTTATCCAAAAACCCATGAATTTATCAGTATACCAAGATGGGTTCAGCTCAATTGAGATCTCATTTTGATTTATAAACCGATCATAATCGAACAACTCTGGAATTCTGATTGCGGGAAAAGAAATGATAAAGCAAGCCCTTTGGTGGAAGTCACACTGCATGCAATACAAATTATTATTACTACTAGAAATCAATTCGACGAGAATATATATTCAACATTATATATGTGTGGGATAGATAAAAACCTGGATGCATGTCCTGAGAAAATGCTGTAGGAACACATTAACTTGTTCACTAGAGACAGTTCCATAGTCGGCTATTGCGAGCCTACACAGCTTAAGACAGCAAATTACGAGATTTTTGCTGCTCTTCAAGGCTAGATGATAATCAGCAAATAGCTCCCTTAAATTTGGGGGTAGCTCTACTGGCAGTTCATTAAGATTCTGACAGAATTGTACGTTCAGAAGCTGAAGGTGTAAGAGTCCTTTGAAGCTTTTTGGTAAACAAGAAATATTGCTTCCACTTACATTCAAATTTTCCAAAGAGTGCAAAGATCCTAAATCCTCAGGAAGTCCACTCAATGTGTTGTGATTATTAGGATCAAGTGATGTCAAGGAGGATAAACCTGATACTTAATTCAAGATAATACTTGAGGAATGTTGAAATTGTTGTTCATGTGAGAATCGTAACTTCCACAGTTTGCCAAGCTTAGTGATGGAGGGAGGTGGTTGGGAGATTGCAGTTTCGCTCGCATCAAATACATGTAAATCTTGCAAATCACCAATGTTTTCTGGAAGCTTCTCTAGCTTTTTGCACCCGTCGAGGTAAAGGCATCGAAGTTTCATCAAATTGCAGAGGCTGTCTGGTAGACTTAGAAGTTCTTCACAACCTGACAGATAGAGATATTCGAGGCCTCTTAGATGCCCAATGGATGAAGGTACTTCTAAGATTTTGAATGGCGTCCGGAATACTTTCAAGAACTTCACACTCAGTCAATTGCAAATTTCTAAGGCTGCTGAAAGATGTAGGTAAGCTTCTTATCCACGGGGATTTTACATAGAGTATTGATAAGCGCGGCATATCTCCACAGATTTCTGGAAATTCTTGTAAGTTTGTGCATTCAAGGAGATTGAGAGTCTCAAGAGATTCCACGCAGACAAATTTTGGAAGCTTCTTAAGTTTGCGACAACCTTCCAAACTCAAATAAGTAAGCAGTCTGCAATGTCCAAAAGAGGGATGGACCTCTTCCAAATTCACACACCCGTGTAAATTTAGTGTCTCCAAGTTTGGCATATCACCAAAATTAGGGGTTTTTCTTAACTCACAGCTGTCCATGAGATCCAAATGCTTCAAGTTGCTCAATTTCTGTTTACCAAAAAAAAAAAAACAGTGAGCTTAAGTAGTACTCCTAATAGAAATATTTTGTAGGAAAAAAAATAAAGAGAAGATAAGGTTGTTATGATCATTAAAGGCGGTAGCCAATCCGGAAAAGAACTTTTGAGATACATAATTGTCTTAAAATCCAAATATATATTTCTTTTCTTTTAATTTCATAATGAAAATAAAACCTCTTTAATATCGCAACTTTTTATAAGATTTTATTTTTTAAAATATTGGAAAATTAAAAATATTTATGGGCCTATGCCGTGAAGGGAGTCCCTCGGACTTGAAAGTTCTTTATGATTTTTCAATGTTCATAACCATAATGTCCGGGTCAAGGTTCATTTAACATAAGTACAAATATTTAGTAAAGATGAATTACCAAAACAAGTATATAGCGTATAAGTCCTTTTGCATGCTTCACAGTAGATCTGTTTATTATATTTTCTCCAACAAACAAAGTTTCTTGATCCATCTTTGATTCACAATTTAACTCAAACAGGACATGCAACAATTTTTAAGGTTGGATCGGATATAACTTGTACAAAAAAGCTATTTTCGCGCAGGTATTTAAAAGTTGTTTCTTATTTTGACAACATTTCAGAAGTAGCTTTTTAACGTAGTGAAAAGGTTTCGGACTAAAAACCCTTAGTTGAGCGGCAAAGATGGTAAAGCGAGAGACAATTGTGCCATGAAAGTCATGAAAAATTGATAGAATTTCACACTATATTCTCCCTGACTATTTTGTTGGATAACTTCTTTATAGTATTGTCATGGTTTCTAGTTATTACTCATGGCAACTCATTTGAACATATTTCATTTACTCTATTGGATTGTCATGATTATGAGTTCACTCATGGTACCTCATATAAACTCTTGCTCTAAATTTAAGATAATATAGCATATAGTATGTGTTATAGTGATGAACTCTTGCTCTAAATTTAAGAAATGGACGCAAACATATCTAACAAAATTAATAAAGACATACAGAATATATATATATACCATGCTAATGAGGGAAAAAATGACCAATAAATTGATTTTACATAAATTTATAAGAATTATAAGATGATGAAATACAAAAGTGAAGTTGACTAATATTTTCTGTTCACTTTATACAAGATATCATCACCAAAAATCTATTAAAAGACGAAAATACTTGCAACCCAAAAAACTTATCATAAAATACAAAAACCAGTAAATAAAGTGCAAATATATATACACACAAAAAGAAGAATCCTTTGAGCAAGATAGCTAAGGAACATTAATAAAAAAAAAAGACACAAATAATGATACAACCTACCTTGAAAGAAGTTTCATCATATAAATCGAAAAACAATTAATACATAAATTATGTAATTGTTTTCGGCCTGTTCCTTATACTCAAATAAAGGCATTATCAAAATCGAAAGAAGGACCATAATGTGTTTTGTCTCCAACATTCCCACGATGAAGCAATATAACTCTTAAACCCAAAGCTCAATATTTTTTTGTAACTGAACCCAAAAGTAGGAAATGGGTGATGAAAAGCTTGTAGAAGCTATAAATATAGAACTAATAAGATGATTTTTACTTTGAGTTTGATAGATCATTTGACTATGTGATTGAATAATATAAATTTCTGTCCAAATTTATAGAATCCTATAAAGAATATGAAAATGTCATGATATTACTTCCATGGATGATGAGAGGAATTAAACATTTTAATTGAGGTAAGAACTAAGAAACTGAAACTTTCAATAAATGTGGGAATATGGAACAACTTTCTACAATCAGATTCATTGTATAATGTTTAGAAGTTTATTAATTTAATTTTAAAAGTTAATGAAAAACATATTTTTATTTCCAACTTTTGATGAGTATGATTAATTAATTAAATAAAATATTATTAAATATAATTATCTTTTTAAACTTTTCAACTTTTCAACTTTTAAATTAATAGTAATTGACTATATAATACTTTAGAAATTTATTTACTAATATTTAATTAATTAGATTATTATTTACTAATATATATATACTAGTTTTTCGACATGTGCATTGCACGTGATTATCAATTCTGAAATTTAAGTGAAGATTTGAATAATAAGCTTTGCACAAAATAATAGTGCAGATTCTTTTGTGAATATTCAATGTAGATCGTCATATATATCTCTTATTCACACGAACCTATAAAGATGGTCAATGAAAATTTTTATTAGTTAAATGCAACAATGTATATATTTATTTCAATTTGATGAGGTTCAATCATGTAATTAGTCGCATCTCACTAATATTACCTTATAGATGATATTTGTTGTGTATTTTTATTACCATCTAACTAGATGTGCTTTGCACGTGTATTCCACTTAATCTATTTAGATGTCATATGAACATGGGAAGAACAACTACATTTTATTTTTTAGAACTATTTTTGTATAACATATTTTATTTTATAAGTTATAACAAAATAAATGACGTTCTTTTTGTTGGCTCTCATATTTGACTTCTCGATTGACTGTGTACAGAAATCAAAGATAGTTATCTGACGGTCCATAGTTAATTGAGAAAGGTTTTCTTTTTTTACCGAAAAACTAAAAATTAAAATTAAAGAATATTGTATCTATGAAATCATATATATAATCACTTGTTTATCTTACACCCAACAAAGATATAGTTCATGTATTTATAAATAATTTTCAATTTATTCAACCAAGCATGATTCGTCCAAGGAAAAATAACAACACCCTATTATCACGTATATAGGGGCGGTATAATAATATGAAAAATTATTGGTCAAAAGTTAATATAAGGAAAGATGGTAGATAGAAGTAATTAATGTAATAACTATGTGAATTCATAATATTATAACTTAAGAATGTAAAAGAGTGTGAATAACATTTACAATAATTAGTAATAACTTGAAAATTTATAATGTTATAACTAAAGACTAATGTGCAGCAGATGAATTTCTAATAAATTTTATACTTACATAAATAAATAGGGCTTTTAATTAATAATACTATTATTTTTTACAGTTATTACATTTTAATTTCGAGTAGGGACAAAATGAAAATGTTTATTCCATATTACTGAATATAATTTATTTTCTTAATGATAAATATTAAATGGTTCAGATATATTCACATCTTTTCACATTTGTTTTGAGTTTTTTTTTTTTAAAAGAATTTGAAAATTTTTAAAATAATATATTTTGAAGTTAGAAGATCTTGTTTACTTGATAGTACATTCGTGACATATATAAATACCTACCCATATATATATATGTGTGTGTGTGTGTGCGCACGCGCATTAATGAAAATATTTATCCTCATTAAAATTAGCTATTAAATAAATAATAAAAATCAAACTAATACAAACTTCAACTGGTGTTATTAGAAGTCATACGAACTTTTCTTCGTCGAAAATACTGAAATATTAAGAAATAGTAATCAGTAATACAAAAGGGCAATGTTTATATTGTAATAACTATTTTGAAGCAAACTTCTTGACAATCTAAATCACATAAGTAACATTGATAAATAAAGTAATTATTTTGTCTTGGGTATCAAAAAAACAAATTGTGACAATTTTTTAACTCTTGAGAAGTTTAATAATTTTGGAAAAAGATATTCAGAAGCATATATCTATATCACAAGAGAAATTGTTAACAAAAACAAATGAATTTAGACTGCAATAAAAATTAGAGTAATACAAACTTCAACTGACGTTATTACAAATCATATAAACTTTTCTTCATTGAAAATACTTAAATATTAAGATATAGTAAATCAGTAAAACAAAAGGGCAATGTTTATATAGTAATAACTATTTTGAAGCAAAATTTCTGACAATCTAAATCTCATAAGTAGCATTGATAAATAAAGTCACTCTTTTGTCTTGAGCATCAAAAAAATTAAATCTTGAAAATTCTCTAACTCTTTAGAAGTTTAATAATTTGTGAAAAAGATATTCAAAAGCATATATCTACATCACATGAGAAATTGTTAACAAAAACAAATGAATTTAGACTACAAGCACTTGAGGTTAAGGAATATACCTTCTTAGGATAAAATAATTTACTTCATCAGAATTGTGGTACCTCATATTCCGCTAAACTTCGAACTCACTCAACGACAATAAATCACACAGAATGCTTTAAAATGCAAGAACAAGAAGAGTAGAATATTTAAAAAAAATTGTGATTGGAAAATGAGAGGAAACCCCTCTATATATAGTCAACAAAGGGTAGTATGAACAAATGTTTTTTGTGTCTTATCAGAAAAGTCATGACCTTTCTGAGAAGTCATAATCCTTTGGAAAAGTCCCAACTTATTGAAAAAGTCACAACTTATTGAAAAAGTCACAATTCTTTGGAAAAGTCACAACTTTTTGGAAAAGTAATGACTCTTTGGGAAAATCACAACCCTTTGAAAAAAGTCACAACCTATCAGAAAAGTCACAACCTAAGTTAGGAATATTATAATAATTTAACATTCAAATTAGCAGTTCATTCTTTTATAAGGTAATATAATATAATATAGATAGATATATAAGGATGTGAAAAGACTTATAACTGATTTATAATATAAAATATTTAATAGAAAAATCATGTCTTTTGAATTAGTTAATTATAACATATAAATGAGAGAAAATAAAATAAAATCACAAGGTAAATGTAGTCATAATGAATAGTACTTTGATAATGTTGCAACGCTTTGATAATGTGGTACTTGATATTCCCAAGAAATTATGATGGGGAAAAATGTATACAAATATGAGTCTTTTTGTCTGTCCATGCAACTGTACAAATTCCAACCGGATACTCAAAGGTGATGAAACCGCAATATTTCTTAAATAGACTATTAAGGACCTTTAATTTAGATATGAAAAATAAAAGAAGTAATATTATGAAAAGGAAAAAAAGATAATATGTACTTATTTAATAATTAATTAATTAGATTTATAATGTATTAATTTAGTGTAGGTACAACATGGTAATTCAACTTTGAAGTTGGGAGCTTCCTACTTTGAATAATATATATGATATATGATTAATTTTCAAATTAAAAATGTCTCTCCAAATCCAAATAACCTTTTACATATAAACAGACCTTTGCCTCACTCATTGCTTCTTCTTTTCTTTTTTCTATGACCACTATCACTCATTGCTTCCTCTTCATACACCAGCCGAATTCCCCAGCAGCATTTCTCAGGCCAGAACATGTGAGAAAACTCCAACATGTAATAATCATTTGGATTCTTCCCTTCTTTATTGCCAGAACAATTCCACAATGTTTCAAATGGTATGTACAAGAACCAAATGGAAGGATCCTTCAACCTAAAATCTTGATGGATGATGTTATACTCCAAGGAATATTTTCTTTCAGGGTCAGATTTGCTGATCAATGTAGCTTTTAATGTTGTGTCCAGTTCAGTAGGACCGTAACATAACCAAAAACCCATGAATTTATCCGTATACCAAGATGGGTTCAGATCAATTGAGATCTCTTTTTTATTTAAAAACCGATCATAATCAAACAACTCTCGAATTCTGACTTGATCAGGAAAAGAAATGACAAAATAATCCCGTTGATGGAAGTCACACTGCATGCAATAGAATAGAAATTTTTATTACTACTACTAGAAATCAATTTGACGAGAATATTCAACATTCATATATGAGATAATTAAAACCTGGATGCATGTCCTGAGAAAATGCTGTAGGAACACATTAACTTGTTCACTTGAGACGGCTCCACAGTCGGATATTACGAGCCTATACAGCTTAAGAGAATCAATTACAAGATCTCTTATGCTCTTCAAGGCTAAATGATAATCTGCAAATAGAAGCATTAAATTTGGGGGTAGCTCTCCTGATGGCAGTTCATTAAGATTCTGACAGAAGTGTATGTTCAGACTCTGAAGGTGTAAGAGTCCTTTAAGGCTTTTTGGTAAACAAGAAATATTGCTTCCACTTAAACTCAAGCTTTCCAAAGAGTGCAGAGATCCTAAATCCTCAAAAAGTCCACTCAAGCCTAAAATTATCAGTTTCCCAAGCTTGGTGATGGAGGGAGGTGGTTGGTATATTGCAGTTTCGCTCACATCAAGCATATATAACTCTTGCAAATCGCCCATGTTTTCTGGAAGCTTCTCTAACTTTTTGCACCCTCTGAGGAAAAGTTGTTGAAGATTCATCAAATTACAGAGGCTGTCTGGTAGACTTACAAGATCTTCACAACCTTCCAGATTTAGCTCAGTGAGACCGCTCAGATTCCTAATGGATAAAGGCACTTCTCTTATCCCACTAGACTTCAGAGTCAGTCTTTTCAAGTAATGCATATCTCCTTTGATTTCTGGAAATGTATCTAATTTTGGGGAATTAGATATCTTGAGCAGTAGAGGGCATTCCATGTGAATAGAACTTGGAAGCTTCTTTAAGTTCTCACATCTATCTATCTCTAACCAACGGAGATTCTTTTGAACTCCAAGAGATACGGGGAGCTTTACCAATCCAGAACATCGGTATATTTTAAGAGATTTCAATAGCTGTGATTCGAAGAGGCTGTTTGGCAGTGTTGCAAGTTTATTGCAACCTGAAATAGTGAAATCACTAAGATTTCGAATAGTGTCTGGAATACATTCAAGAATTTCACAATCACCCAATTGCAGCACTCTAAGGCCGCTGAGAGATGGGGGTAAGCTTCTTATCCAGGGGGATCCTAGATAGAGTCTTGATAAGCGCAGCATATCTCCACAGATTTCTGGAAATTCTTCTAACCTTGTGCATTCACTGAGATTGAGAGTCTCAAGAGAATCCATGCAGACAAATTTTGGAAGCTTCTTAAGTTTGCGACAACCATACAAACTCAAATAAGTAAGCATTCTGCAATGTCCAAGAGAGGGATGGACCTCTTCCAAATTCACACACCCCTCTAAATCTAGTCTCTCCAAGATTGGCATATCACCAAAATTAGGGGGTTTTGTCAACCCAAGGCTTTTGCTTAGATTCAAATGCTTCAAATTGCTCAATTTCTGTATTCAGTTAAAAAAAACGAAAAACTAGTTAACTAAAGTAGTACTCCTAATAGAAATATTTTATGGGGAAAAAGATAAAGAGAAGAGAAGGTTGTTATGATCATTGAAGGCTGTAGAAAATGTGGAAAAGAGGGAGTCCCAGGTACTTCTATCAACCAAAGCTAGAACAGATGGAAAGAAATCACCTAGGGGTCGTTTGGTAGAGTGTATAAAAATAACGCTCAATAGAGTGTATTAGTAATGGTTGTATTAGTTATGCTTGCATTAGTTATGTATAGATTATTTCTCATGCATTGTTTAGTTTGGTGTATTAAAAATAGTATGCATTGTATAAAAATATTTATTTACAAAAATATCCTCCACAATTATGGTGTAAAAGATGTAAAAATGCTTTTGAGGGGTAATTGGGTCTTTAACCAAGCTAATACATGTATTACTGTCTAATATTCGTAAGAGAGTGTTACCTTTGATTTTGGCCAAAGTTCAACAAGCCTACTTTCACATAAACAAAGCACAACAAGCTGTAATGGTTCAAAGCTCTCTGGCAATGAAATTGAAGGATACCACCACCAATCAATAAACCGCAGGCTGGAAGGAAGATACGTGATAGCGCAATTTGAGCTAAAAGTTCCATTACCAACTATGAGTATTTTTAAGCTTTGCATCCTCTTGAAAATATTGCTATAATCAACAAGATCATCTTTAAAATAGCAATCATGTGGGATACATAGGCTTTCCACCTTTTCTGTTATCTGTAAATAATGAAACATATATTTAATGGCTAACAAATAAAAATGAAACAAAAAAGATTAATAGAACTACGAGCTTACAAAATTATTAATTACGTTAAATATTGCTTACCAACTTTCCTTTAAAAAGGTCACAAACCTCCTCAGGAAGCCATATTCTGTTGTTGGCGTACTCTTCCCGTATGACATTTTCACCCATTTCTCTTATCATATTATGCATCACGATACTATTTTTCAAGTCAATGGATAACAGAGATTTTTCGATAAGGTAATCTATTAGAAAACCACGACTCGCGTCTCTCCGTACTTGTTCCACACAAAGATGAAATTTATATCTAGTCATGCATGCAATATCAAGAAATGCAATATCTAGAAATAATTCCTTCTCATCTTTGTCCAGACCATCAAAACTAAGCCTAAGCTTTCCTAGAATATCCTTGTGAGGGATTCTCTTCAGCCGATCAATTATGGGTTTCCAGTGCTTTTTGTCTCGTCTGTAAAATAAAGAACCCAAAACTTTAAGCGCTAAAGGGAGTCCACCAGCATGCTTCACCACTTGTTTTGAAAGTTCCATAAAATCTTCTTTTGGTGATTTTTCTTTAAAAGCATGCTTACTGAACAATTCAAGTGCTTCATCCTCAGATAATAGTTGGACTTCATACACGTTATCCCCAACGTGACTGATTAACAGGTGCTTGTCTCTTGATGTTAAAATAATTTTGCTACCCATTCCAAACCACTCTGGCCCTCCAACTAAAAAGTCCAACTGTTCTCGGTGGTTTACATCATCGAGAATGAACAAAACTTTCTTCCAGCGAAGCCTATTCTTTAAAATAATCACCCCTTCATGTTCACTAGTTAGACTCATCTTTTCACCCAAGAGCTTGTGAATGACGACTTGTGCCAGCCATGCTAGTCCATTTTTCTGATGAAGTGTTCCAACGCCACCAAGAAAACAATCGGCTTCAAATTGATGACGGTATCTTTCATATAGAACACGTGCAAGTTCTGTTTTGCCGATGCCGCCCATACCCCAAATACCAATAGAGCGAACATCATTTGATTCCATATCTAATAATGAGGTTACTTTCTCAACCTGAGATTTCATACCCACTAAGCTTTCCGGGAAAGGTGAAAGAATTTGAAGTGACTTAGGAAATATGTCATCAACTAGTTTCTTGATGCACTCTGCCTCATCTCTACATTACAGTGGAAAATAATCTCAGAGTAAATAAATAGAAAAGCAAAGACTATTATGAATTATAACATTTCAAAATCTAATTACATCATCAAACAATCATATACGTCTCTGTTTTCCTAGGATATTTGTTCCCTTTTGGGTAAACTAGCAAAATAAAGAGAAACCGGAAAAAAGAAGAAGAAGAAAGCTTACTTGAAATTTAGTAAATGATAGCCTGATATTTTCCCTGCCTCCACAAATGCATCCCTCCATCTTTGAACCTTCTCCATATCATCTTTGTGTTGGGAAAATGAATCAGCGAATGGGGGATTTTGATGGCGTACATCTGATGGGCTCACATCATAGAAGACTGGAATCACAATCTGCTCCAATTCCTTTTTACACTTTATGATATGTGCAAGCTCCTCTAAGCACCATCTTGAGGATGCATAGCTTTTTGAAAATATCACGACAGCGAATCTGGCATCTTCTATGGCTTTTAAAAGTTCAGCAGAAATTGATTTTCCTGCTTCCAACCACTCATCGTCTTTAAAAGTGTGGATTCCTCTTTGTTCCAGAGCCTTATAGAGATGACTCACAAAGGTTCTACGCGTATCTTCACCTCTAAAACTCAAAAAAATATCATACTTGCAAATTTTGGAAGAAGAAGCATGAGACATTGTTGAAGAATATTGTTAAAGCCTTAGTGAAAGAAAAAGTGGTACTTTACAAAAGAAGAATAGAAAGTGGATTCATTCAGCATTGCTAAATACACAGAAAGTGAATGCAAGTAGTTGAGAAGGAGGGATCATTAATAAATTTTCGAAACTTCATCTACAGCTAGCAGTAGTAATGTATGTGAAAGAGAACTAACATTGGGTGGGCCTTTGCTTGTCATCCATTTTTTTTTGTGAGGGATGAAGCATTCCATCACAAAACAGGAAAACAAGTTCTAGCAGTAGCATTCTACGTTGATTGTATACTCCAAAACCTTCAACACACCTCATCTGCATCCCATCCCCACCTCGCTTATTTATCTAGATTATATACAGATGTTTGTAGAATAATATTTCTTGCTTACGTACCACACACAAAAAAAGTAACAAACCACTTATTTTCCTTCATACGGAATACATTCTTATCATCTTATTATTATGAATGGGTCCAACATGAAGGAGTTAGGTTAGAGTGAGTCATTGAAAGCTCACAACACATAATACATAGTAAAGACTTCAACTTTATCATTAATGCAGTGAGAAATTAAAGATTGAAAGAGAGAAGAAAGGGCTAAATGTACGAAAAAGGAGAAAATTCAACAAAATTGATATCCAGTAAGGGAGGGAAACTTCTACCTTGTGTTTTTTTTTGGTTTCCCACCGCTGTCCTGTAGCCGAGGCCGACTAAATTTGGATTCACACCGCCAAGTCCCACATTGCGCATCAACCCTACACCTTTTGCCACCATTTTTGAGAAATTGAAGTGTACAACAACAACATATCCAATGTGAAATATCATAAGTGGAGCTCCATGAGAATATAATGTACACAGACTTATTATTATTATGTAGAGGTAGAGAGTTATAGACTATTTTTGGTTTCCATCTGTACGCAGTGGAATACCTACTTATTAAAATCCGACTAATTTAAACTCATATGGTTTAAAACTATATTCAAGAGGAAAGGATTCGAATTTTGCCGTAACAAAGGGGCTCGAATCTGAGACCTAAGAGATAAAAGAGAAAAAATTAGAGTTTTTGGCCAAAATCATCCTTAAACTATACCCCAAACTTAAGCTACATCTTAGTAGAAAACATCTTTCAACTATTTAAACGTGAACAATTTTCATCCTTCTACTTGAATTTATCAAAAAACTAATAGATCCCACAAAAATCAACTGATCCCTTCATTATTATTATTCTTAGATACGCCAAAAATACTATCATGAACTTTTTTGGTAATTGAGTTTAGCATTATGCAAAATCTTTTAATTTGACTTTTTTTTCATTTATTTTTCATGTAATTTGATATTAAAAATATTATTAGTTGAAATATGTTTCTTCTCAATTGAATATGCTATAATAGGCATTTGTCGGAGACTTCCACTTCTAATAATGTAGAATGACACTCAAATGCGAGACATATCAATGATCACTTTAATATCAGATTGTCCAAAAATTTATTGATCTAAATACTATATAACTTTGAAAAAGGTAAAGATAATTAAGCTCCAGCTTCTTTCCATTACTAAATGAGAAAAAGAGCATATCGTGTATCCTCACACCTTCCAAACATTTTTTGTTTCAATAAGCAATGGTGTCTATGATTTCTAATATATTTTTCAGGAACTTTGGTAATGAAATTACGCAAGAAAACTTTTATTGGTAGTCACGTGAACTGGTCATATTTTTGTAGGATCCCTTAGCTTTGACGGTATCTTACAGAAGGATGAATATTGTTAACTTTCAAATACTTAAAAGGATGTTTTTTTGCCAAAAAGATATTTTAAGGATGTAATTTAAGTTTGGGATATAGTTTGAGGATGTTTTTGGCCAAACACTGGAAAAAATTACCCTCTTTTACTTTGGTGGAAAAGCTTCCTGGAGGAAAAAAAAAACGAAGCTTTGAGGAGGCAAAACTTATTTTCGAGAAGCCGATTTTTTATTTTTTTGAAAAAGTACATTTTTAAATGTTTTTTTAGAAATTTCGATCAAAGATTATTGCTGCTTATAATTGTTTTTTAAATTGATTGGTCATTTTAAAATTAAACATAAATAATTTTTCATCAAAGGCAGTACTGGACTGTAATTTATTTTTTGAAAATACTTTTCAAAATAAATTGATTTATATAATTAATAATCTTTTCATTCACTTTTATTTATCATATTTGAATAAAGAAAAGAGAAAATCAATATTCAAAGGTCCAAATGAAAATTAATTTCTTGATTTATACTCGTAAGCTGATGACAAGCCATGAAAAGCTCTATAATTAAATTAGACTTTTATCAAAAAAAAGAAAAAAGAAAAAAAGAAGCAGATAAAGAGTCTAGAGATTTTATTTTTATTGTTATACATACATTTTCTTAATCAAAGTTTATGTATATCTTTAATACACTTTGTATAATTTTTTTAGGCACATCTTAACGGTTAAATTGATAATCGAATCGATAACGATTAATAAACGATAAGTCAATATTTTAACAGTTTAACATATCTACAAATCGATAATCGATTAATTTCAAAATCGAACCAAACCGATTCACAACCGTGTCTCAAATTTGAATAGAAATCCAATACAAAATATCAAATAAAAAAATTGAGCCACTAGAATAAAAAAATAAAGAATAGTAAGATGGTTTTCTCGAATGATAATAAGAAAAGGAAAAAAAAAACTCATCCGGAGGTTTTTAAAAGAAAAAGAAAAACGATAATAAACAGAATCGAAAAGAATCTTTTGTGGCTGAAATTTGGGTAGCAACTGAAATCGTTTCGTTTCATTTCTGAGCTAGCAATGGAAGCTCTTCTGGGAAGTTCTCCTTCTCCTTCATTCACCATCACCAGAAGAAACCCCATTACTTCTTTTAAGGTATGTGAAAAATTGGAAAGTTAAATTTTTTATGGTTCTTGAAATAACCCCATTTGTTCAAGTGGGCAACTTCCCTATTACTTCATATTACTATTTGTTCTTTTAGTTGGTGTTCTTGATTTCATTAATTTCTCGATGTTTCAATTTATGTGATTGTGTTTGCCTGGAAATTGAGATTGAAATAGTACTAATTTGATTTTGTGTAGTATGAATGGTAGTAGAAGAAACCCCATTATTTCTTTTAAGGTATGTGAAAATTAGAAAGTTAGGTTTTTTATGGTTCTTGAATTAACCCCATTTGTTCAAGTGGACAAATTCCCTAATATTTCATATTACTATTTGTTCTTTTAGTTGGTGTTCTTGATCTCATTAGTTTCTTGATGTTTCAATTTATGTGATGGTGTTTGACTGGAAATAGAGTTTGAAATAGTAGTAATTTGATTTTGTGTAGTATGAATGGTTGTAGAAGATAACAACAACAACAACAACAACAACATATCTAGTGTAGTCTATGGGGAGGGTAGAGTGTACATAGACATTGCCCCTACCTAGTGACAGAGTCAGAATTTTCATCAAGGGGTTCAACATCTACTTTATATACATAAAAGATAATTTTAACCATGTAATAAACAGTATAATTCTCCATAGAAGGGGGTTCGGATGAAGCCCTTGATCTTGCTTGGCTCCGTCCCTTGTCCCTACCTCAGAGGTAGAGAGGTTGTTTCCGATAAACCCTTGGCTCAAGATGAATGGTAGTAGAAGAAGATATTAATTAGCTTGATAGTTTTAGTTTGCTTAGAAAAGTATTGAAGTGTAAAATGAGTTTAGGAGGGGAGAAAATCTAGTGATTTTTGTACTTCTGCCTAAGTCTGGAGGAATAATGAAGGTTTGCACTAACTGGCCCGGATTAAATAATTTTAATGACTGAACTGTGTAATATTTTTGAAATTCGTGAAAGGGGAAGACTGTAGTATAGATTAAAACTAAGAGAGTTCATTATTTAAGCAGTCTGTTTTCTCAATTGTGAAACATTGAAGTAACATGGAAATCCTTGCTTCAATTTATGTAGTAAACAAGTATACTTACGTATTTTAAAGTTTTCCGGAGCCAGTAATTTGAGTAAAGATTGAAACTTTATATAATTTTTCATTTGATGACAATCTCACAATATTTAGTGTGTCAAATGAAAGAAAAGGTAGAAATCGAAAGATTCGAACAGTATTTGAGAGGCTTGAATCAGAGAGGTAAAACATTGATCCCTTCGTTCTGTCAAATAAATCAGTCAACTACACCTCAGTCTCAAACTAGTTGGTGCAGGTTACATGGTTCCGCTATATCCATTCCACTCTATTCATGCTATTTGATTGCAGGACTGGTACATAATTGGTCTTTTAAGACCAAAAGCATATATTTTAAACATTATTATTTCATTAAGGGAGAAGGTCCAAATTTCTCCCTGTACTATTTATATCGCTCAATTTTGCCTCTGTCACACTTTTGATCCATTCATATTCTTGTTGTTAATTAATTATCACGTATTTTTCCTTTTTGTTAACGGAACTCCAGCGTAAAATTGGTGGACTCTACGTGTCCAAATTCTCTGAGAAAAAATGTCCAAATTTACCCCTCAATCTTCCTTTGGAGCTTCATTAGTAGGGGGGTCAAGCGTAAAAATAAGGCTGCTTCCCAGTGGAGGGGGTAATGTTAGACCAAAAGCTTATGGACGTCAAAGTTGCTCAATTTTAGCCCTTTTCCCTTTAGTTTACTTTAAAGGAGCTGGAAGGCTAAGAAGTGATTATGAGGAATCATTCCTGCTTGTATGTGGTGGACCATCTAGAAGGAACAAAATCAACATGTTCGTTCTGTACAAGAAATAAAGCATTTCCAAGCTAAAAGCTACTTGTCTTTCTCTGTCTTTGTGTTTTTGGTGCAAAAATGCAAAATTTACACGATATAGATAATCAAGTAGACTTCATCAATAAACATTCTGCAGGTGTTTTCATGGAGTTCTTTATACAGCGGAAGTAATAACTCTCGAGTATATCATCCTATATTGCGTCTGAAAAGAAGTGGCAATGACAACTCTGGAAGTTGCTCTCCTTTATGCTACATTGAGCAAATGTACAGAAACAGAATGTTTTCTCAGCCAATCCGGAGGTGTAGAAAAATATTCATAGATAAGCAAAGTTTGCTGGTTATACCAAATGGCTTAGCTTTTCTACCAAGAAAATT